TCGTGCTGTGATTTGTCGAGCGACCGGTGATTCTGAGACGATATTTACTGCTCGAGCGGTCATTATGAGATTTTCTAAAATTTGCCAGGGCTAAAACGTTCTTTTAATAGAATTTCGTCCCTCCTCTTTTCTTTTTACATTTCCTCTTTTTTCTCTGATAAAATAAGCCTAAAACAATCATTYACTCGCGGCTCGGTTAATATTCACCGATAATCACCGTTCGAGAAGAATTGATGGAAAATACCATGCGTATTTGATGAAAGTGGCTTAATAGTCTCCTTCACAGTTCCCTGCGCCATCTTGAAAGGTAGCCGTGYCTTTGCATCGAAGCGAGACGAACGATGAGCTTGCAATGACAGAGACATGTGAATAATTGTCCAAGGTGTTACATTTTGTAAAAACAGGTCTCTATATCATTGCAAGATCACCGTTCGTCTCGCTTCGACGCAAAGGCACGGTTACATTTCAAGATGACGCAGGGAACTGTGAAATAGACTATTAATACCACGAATGCGTACATCCGGCACTTTTTTTGCATTTCATGTAAAAAGTTCCGAATGTGTGCCTGCAATTTCAGTGCTATAAACCGAAAAACCGTGGGCACTTCCAAAAATATTCTATTGTTCTTTAGCCAATCACAATTAACGTTCTAACCACAAGATAACGGAAAKATAAAACTAACGCTTCTGATTGGTTAAAAAACATTCTTGACATATTTCTAGGCGCCCACGGTTTTTCGATTCGCACTGTAAATAATTAATTGCACAGGTTAAGAAAAATTCATGGCCATTTAACCAATCAATGTTAAAAGAGAAGAGCACTCAGTTTTAAAATATTTTGATATGGGTCTACATACCTCTGATGATAGATTTTGATATACTTCTTTCGCTAGGGCTATTCCAGAGTTATATATCTACAGGGTCAGAGCAATAAACTGATGAGCAGACATTAAATTATTTACAAGTAAAGAAAAAAATTGACCATTTTAGAAATAGTGGTGGACTGGGGAGAGTGTCGTAGCGCAAAGGCGTCTGGGATTGTTAMGCGAAAGTTTCTTTCTTCGTTTGAGAATTTCATAATGCAAGGCAAGTTAGTGTCCGTAACACTCCAGTTTCAAATTCTCTGTTGCTCAGGGTTAGCCTTGATTTTGTATGACATTAACTTGAATCTTCACCGGCATGCATTACAGTGAAGGTCCTTAGAATTTCAAAGTGTTGTTGAAGTTGTGCATTCTTTACTTTACCGTTGTTATTTTTGTGAATATTTAGACACTGATACGAGGCTAACCATGAGTAAATGAGTCTGCAATCATGGAACACAGCGGTATTCAGGGAATAATTATTCTCGAGTTTATGGATCCTTCTCAAAAGCATAGTGGATGCGAGACTATCATGAAAATACAAAAGAAATCACTTTTTCTCGATGGAATTTGTGGCATTTCTTTTGTATTTCCACGTTAGCCTCTCATTCAAGACAATTTTGAGAARGGTRCAWGCCATTCTCGTTCCCAGATCGTCCTCGGTTGTCGTTCCTCCCCRTCAGAGGCTCTGGGAATCCTCGCAATTTGATTGGCTTTTAAGAAAAACAATAGATCTACTTTTTGATTGGATAATCGAATGTTTATGTTCGCCATTGTAGATTTCACAAAGCCAAAGGYTTTTCTTGAAAAGATTTCGAGTATTCGCTGTGAGGACGTGATCGTAAYATTCCTTTCTTCCGGTTGTAGGGTTTCCCAGAGCGTCTGACGTGGAGGAACGACAAYCGAGGAGGCTGGGAACGAGAATGGTTGCATGCATTCAACTCATTTATAGGGTACTTACGGAGATCATTTTCTTTGTGTTGTCGTCAAGGTCACTGAGGATGTATACTCGAAAAACAGGCGAATCACTGGCTTTCAATTTATGAATAGAAAGAAGGCTTCTCTTAAAATCCCAGGCATTCTCGTCCCAGTTTCCACTCATGCCCCAACCTCCCAACTCTCTAATGCGTTTCCTYAGAGGTGCGTCACCAAGAATTTCAATGGCCGTCAAGTTTATGCAYGATTGGTAGAAATCTGTTGGCATTCGCTGTACTTCTGCGCTCGCTCCGTTGATGTCGATTTTGGCTTTTTCTAATTTTCGTTTTTTGTATTTATCTGTTTTCGCTTCGGCTTTTTTAAATATAGAATAATAAGAATAACCGGGAGGGAAAGGATTGTTTTCCGACCATCTGCCACAGGCGTACTCATAAAAATCCTCGCAAGGGTTTACGGAAAGGTTCATAGAACGGTTAATTTGATTGGCTGCATCAATACATTYGGGAGTGTTGCAAATCTTGCTAGATTGAGAGTTGGTTTTGACTGATGTCTTGGMAAATCTTGGGGATCGAATCTTGTTTAAACCCTGTTCGAGAGTCGTCTTCTTGTTCTGACTTGCTGCTACGTGGATCATTGATATCACAAGTAAGACTGCCAAGAAACGAGGACCATGGATTGAAGACCATCGCTTGTTCTCTTGTTTCCCACCTCTGCCAACATTCGTCATTCTTCCCATTACCATGAAGTGACTTTTTCTGTGTGTCTCCTATGATTTACCTTCACTTCCCAAAACGGTGTGTTATCAGAATTCAGTGTGGACTGCTTAATCCAGTTGATGTTAAGCTTTTTTCAAAGCTGTAAGTTTTTTTTCTCTACCGGTTGATCAAACGTGTAACTATTCTGTTCTGCTATAACCTGCTCAAACATTTTCTTACATAATTTCAATTTTTTGCAATTTGAAATTATTTTTTTCTTGACAAGAATTATAATATTGTCTTCATAAAGACACAACATGTTCTTGACTCTTTTTTCTCTTCCATGACAAAGTTTCTGTAGTTTTCGCCAGTTCTATGTGATTTTAAAACAATATTTTTGATCCTATTGTAACTAGAAGTTTTTGCGCTATAACCTGGTGAACATTTTTTCGACACGTCGAGCGGCTACAAAAAAAAGAACTCTTAACCTTTTTTCACATGTCGTGCGGTTAGAACAATGAAAAGGAATTTTTTCCACATCTCTTTTGGTTTAAAAGTCTTGCAAACGCTATCTGTGCCATCATGTTGGCAACCAATATTTTACAGTTATTTTGTCCGCAAAAAAAAAATACTACGCGCAGTGAACATTGAACATTCCACACTCGGCCCGCAATACCCTATAACGGGGTACCGGGGACCGCCTCAATCGCATCGTATAGCCCACTTCCGAGATATACTTCGTTTGTCACGCACAAAGGTTTCAGTATGAGGCTACGTGCTAAATTAAATTAATTCCTACCGCCTGTCACGAATGACTGAGCATTTAGCACGTAGCCTCATACTGAAACCTTTGTGCGTGACAAACGAAGCATATCTCGGAAGTGGGCTGTTACTACTCAAGTATCTCACTTAATTCAAAATGCTTCACAGAAATTCTCTTGAACTCAAGTAGCCTCAGTCTTGTCATGCATGTGGCATCTCAGATAATCTAAACTTTTTTCCTTTGAGTTATTGGCAGTAATTTCAGTTTATTGATCAAATTTGAAACTCTTTTATATTAACGGGGTTTTTTATTTTGACAGATGGGAGAAGACCAGCAGACATCCAAGAGGATTTATAAAAGTTAAAAAGTGTAAAACTAGCTTCAACGGAAAGCGAGAGTTGTAAAGTCTATCTATTAATGTATTCAAAGGGAAAAGAATTAGACGTTATATTACAAAAAGGTAACAGTATAAATGTCGCACCATTAGACCTTTCTGGATATATGAAGCGTTTTCACGTAACGTCACAGCGGCCATTATGGGGTACCAAAACAATACAYTTTCTATCCTCCRGGAATTGARCTYTATTTTTATGCAAATACTGTGCWGAAAGTTTCTATTGTTTATGGCTGCCTTCTCACGTGAGTGAAAACGCTCTATAACCCGCGTGAGTGACTAAGAAACGATGGCCGRGCCCCAAGTCGAGGTTGAACTGGATGTATGAATTCCAACCTTCGAATTGGGGCGGAACGCAGCTTCCAATTGGATGAATATATAATAAGAATAGAACGATAAACAATATAAACCTACTTCAAGAAACGTTGTCCTCAGTAGGTCATTCCGATTTGGAAATGGTTTCGTTGAATACAAGAACATTGAATCAGTCTCAACACTAAGGTCCATTTTCTTGACGAGAATAAGAAGCAGAAACACAAGTCATTCCAGCTATTCTTGGATCTTGGAAATGACCTATCTCCTAGCGCTTTTCGCCTATCGCCTTTGGCGATGACAACGTTTTTTGAAATAGGTGTCTACAAAACAATAGAACCGCGAGTCGACAAAGAAAACCATCGTTTTTTTTACCAATCTCGACAGCTCTTCTTAGCGGGTGTGTTATTATTACTGCCACTTGGAACCATTGCTTTGTGCTTACTCAAGCCCTTCGGGAAAGGTCTTTTGATTTTAGGTAACTGAACTTTGAAATAAATTACTCATGGTATTATTAGAACTTGAAATAGAGGCTTTGCAYCATCACGTGATGGAAGCCATGACAGGAGGCAGAACTGAATGGAGTCGTTCTTCTCTGAGAAACTGAATTCTTTCTTAATAGGTATGTAAAAAATGATTATAAAATGCAACCAAAAAGAATATGTTATATATATTCAGTGTTAATTTGAATAACTTGACCTAAACAAGTCGATGTTATAGTTCAATATTGCTGAATTTATATAGATTGTTAATCTAAGTTTTTTTTTTTTGAAATTACTTATTTTTCATAATAATAATTAATATTATCACAAATAGCAGGGTTATACAAGATCTTAACTTTAAATTAGGGAGGTAAAATTTTGTATTTGGGAGAGGGCTGAGGCTTCACTGAAGGGTCATCAGTGAGATTTTGAACTTTTGTGCAAAGTCAAAGTTAAGGCTAGTACGTTGTTGACTGAATAGGAGGGTCATGAATTTCTTACCCAGTATTTATTGACTGAGGGGGGACGGGGTGGTCGTAGGATTTAGGGAGGATCATATGATCTTTAGACAACTGGAGGGAGGAAAAACTGTCAATTTGTTGGGGTTTTTTGGGGGGGGGGGGGGGGGTCAGTTAATCTTTATGATGGGGAAATAAATATCCTTCAACTCCCAGGAATAAATAATACCGAGTACACAATCATCAATATTTAAAAACATACCCAGGTAGGATTTTGATCAAGMGTTTAATATTAAAATAACGGCAACATATATACATGAATTAATACTTAGTAGGTAATGGTTGCTATTCTAGCTAGTGCATATGCAACTAGCATTGTTACTCTATCGTATATGCCAAGAAGACATAGTTGGGGTCCTCGGGAACCATTTCATGTCCTGGTTTGACTGTTTGGAAGCCCATGAACATGAATGCTCTCATCATTGATGCTGTTAGGGACAAAGAAAGAACAGCAATTATTAACATCAAAATTCAACAGAAATCATTTGCTGTGGCTAACTCACAGATTAAACCCTGAAACAACTTCTGGGCTGATCTAAGTCAGGGCATGGCTAACTCACAGATCCAACCCTGAAACAACCTCTGGGCTGATCTAA